AGTCTGAGTATGGGATCACTCCACTTGATTCCAGATAACCAACAAGAACTTTTTTTCTTTTAGCAGGAGGAAGCCTGTTTTCTTTTGGGCTTTTTAGTAGTGTTGTTATTAATGCCTCAATGTAAAGAAGTCTAAGGTACAGAGACTTTCTGGGAGATGTGTATTTTAAGGGCGTGAAACCATTTGTTGCAGGGCTTGGACTCACACATGTACAAGGGTACGGTGGAAAAAAAAGTGTGGGAGCAATAAACAGGGATGCCACAGCCTGCAGGTTGGAGGTAAGATGAGGCATGAAGACAAAGGGAAGGTACTGGAGGCCTGGATGTGCTGTTACTTCTGTGAACTTGAAGTTCCTTTCCGGTCCAGCAAATTTCTTCCTCTTCTTCCTCTAAGTTTATGTTTGGAAACACTTTCCATTTGGTTTTGTACTGTTTTGCCCTTGTGCTGTATCACAGACTTTTAAGCAGTGATATAACAAAGCCTGCAGACTTGATGTTAGTATTTATGCTAGGCAGGCAAGCCTGGTATAAATCTGAGGTGTTTTTCTTTTCTTTTCTTTTTTTTTTTTTTCCTAGCTGTGATAGTGTCAGTTTGATATATCACCTTTCATGTTGTGTTTGTACTTGAGGTCAGGAAACTTCTGAGTTGTGCCTATCATCAGCATTGTAAATACAAAGTAGCCTTTGGCACCTTAGTGTGGTGCCTTGCAGTGGATTTGTCAAAACAAAACAAAATCCCCTCTTTTGTTTTCCCCTGGAGTCAATTACACTCAGGATGAAGGAGTTAGTGACACCAAGGATAGCAGCTGAAGCATTGCAGGCTAACCTGCTTATCAGAAGTGCTGGCATTGGTATTTTCTAGTATCACTGGCCAGCTTTACTGGTCCATTGAGAGCCTCTGCTTTCAGCAGGACTTGCAAAACACATTAAAACTTCTTTGCAGATTCTTGAGCTTCGAGAAAGTACCCACCTAAATAAACTGATTCTGCTGTGTCAGTGCTGGTAGTTCTTGGGGGCAGGACCTCTCCCCTTCTGCCTGTGGGGAAACCCTTTGATGAGGGGGGTGGATGGTTGGTAGTGCCCTCCAGCCCTGTCCTGCATGCCCTGCTCCAGGGACGTGGGAGGCACGTGCCAGCCCCATGCCATTCCCTGCCCCATAGCCCTGGGGACGTGCTGCACTGTAATCTGGGACACACTGTCCAGAAACAGGCCCCAAGTGTGTGCTAGGGATGGTTCTTGGGCTTTAGAGATCTCGTATATAGCTCTGTAAATGTGTGCACATACCTTTGTAGCTGCTGGGATTGTTTGTGTGCTGTATGCCAATATCCATATATGCACTGTGTATACATGTGCATGATATAGGGCATGTGTTTAACCTATGTTACCATCTATGTACAGTACACCTCTGTGTTCTTATGGTGATGCTTTGTGGTATCACACAAGATGGTGGAATTGCAGCTGGTTTCTCCACATAACTGGAAAATGGGCTGGTGATCTGTGGTTTCCCAAGCTGCAGTACAGCCATGGCATAGTAATTTAGCAGCAGTTGCTTTTCTGTGTCTTGGATTTCAAAATGCCCTCTCCTAAGTTTAAGTATATATAACTCTGTAACATGAAATAGTGTAAGTAGACCTATTTCTGAACAAAGCTTTTGCTATTGTGCAGGAAAAGTTTGTTTTCACTCCCTTCTGAGGTAGGTCAGCTCATTAATTTTGTTGCAGCTCCAGTGGCATAGGAAATGTGGCTCAGGTGTTCCCATATTGCTGTTGTATGTCAGATACAGAGTGGCTTTTCTGAGTAGAATTAGATTTTAGCTGTGTTCTAAGGAAAAAAAAAAATCCAATGGAGAAAAATTAGCTACATGCCTCCAAAGCAGGAGAATGTACATCATGTGTTCTTGTGTTGAACATAAGTAGATGTTCATTAAACATCAGTAGGTTAAAAAAAACTGCTGTTGGCTTGGGATGGAATTTCCAGATCTGTCTGCTGACATGTAAGGTTTGGGACCCATTCACATCTGCTGTGACATGCTTTGCTTGAACAGAGCTTTTCCCATCTCCTTTTGCTGGCTGGAGATTTACATAATATATTCAAGTACAGTAAAAGGTTCAGACATCCTGGCCAACAAACGAAACATGCTCTATACTTAATACTGCCTCAAATTTCTCATAACTGGTCTGTGATTATTCCAGTCACAAAACACCCCGGACAGCTTTGAGATAGAATTTTTCATACAGTTATGAGTTCTTCTGTAAATAAAGCAAATCCTCAGGAGTGAGTGTGAGGAATGGTTGATCCTGAAAAATGGGGAATAGGAGTGTGTTTTGAAGCTGGGTGACATAATCCACATGTTGCAATTTATTTATTTACATCCATTACTCTGCACTTCTACAAGCACTGAAACTCGACCAGAACACAAGAACTTATTGCAGATCTGCAAAGTCCTGTACAGTGGGGACTGTTCTTAGTTATTGCTATCAGCAGCAATAAATGTAGTAAACATAGACGTCTCACGACAGCCTAATACATTCCTCAATTTGTGACTTCTCCAGCAGCCAGAAAAGAGATGAACTCTGCAGTGGGCCTGAAAAGGGGTTATCAGCAAACTCTGGGTCTGCAGACTTGAGGAAAAGATCAGGTTTCAGTGTCCACATTCTTTGTTGAAAATACTGTCATCGGGATCTCTGGTTTTTGGGGGACTGGGGTCATAATTGTTGCTGTGTTCTATATGAAAAACAGGACTGACAACATCCAAACAAGCAGAACTGTTAGGAGCTAAATGCGGTGTCTAGAAGCTTATAACAAAACTAGCCAGCCACCTCTACAGACTTTTGAGCATCAGTGGCACTTCAGAAATAGCTAATCCCAAAAGAGAAACACCAGTATCCTGTTTTGAGGTGGAAACCACAATGCATGGCTGCACCTGAGAAAATCTGTGACAGCTTTCCTGAATCTTTCCAAAGATCCCTAGGAAAGCTCATACCCTGTATGTCTTCAAATGGTGTTTCCCTGTTGACCCCAGCATTCCTAACTGTGCTTCAACATCCCTTGATAAAAGGGAGATTCTGGGGTTTGGTTTTCTTCCCTCTTCCCTTAAGGACATCTGAGCAGGGATCTCAGTGCTGTGCCCAGAGTCCCCTGGATATACTGGAGTTATGAACTGCCCTCCTTGTGAACTTGGTTTGAGATGGAAATGTGTGTGAATAAACAATGTGTATGATTCAATTCTCCCTCTCGTGGTCAGATGGGGCCCTTCTCTCAGTCTTCAAGCAAAGACACATTAGATGTGCCTGTTGGATGTAACTTGCATCTTTTGGAAGCCTCCCATGGTCGTAGTACAATCAGGATTTAGTGGGGAAGTTACTGATGGCTCTTGAAATACATATATTGACTTTTTGCCACTCCATGAGTGGACAGATTGGAGATGTGAACCGAACTGCGACATTCTGTGGAATTGTATTAACCTCTCCTGTACACACCTCCACTAAGTGTTTCTAATTTGTCTCTGTTTAGGTGTTAAAGTGCTTCTGAAACATAGCTCCCTTTATCATCCTCCTGGCACTTCTGTTGACTCCAGTGGGTGATACAGTGTGAGCTCTGTTGCTTTTCAAGGATGCTGCAGTGTCGTTGACTTTGACAGGAGCACTCCTCTAAAAAAACGAGAGGAGGATTTGCCTCTCTGTTGTAAATCCCACTGTTTGGTAAGAAAAGTCCTGAGGATTTTGTTCAATGATATTTAAGTCTCCCCAGAAGGAATAAAACCCTACTTTAAAAAAAACTAAACAATCCTTCACAAATGTACAGGATTAAGCATTCCAAAAATCAATTTTTAATTATTGTTTAATTGATTTCAGATATAAAAAAGAAACAGAAAATAAGAAAAAATTTAAATATATTTTTTACACAGGGCTTAACAGCCATTTTCTGTCAATGTGGATGTTAGAACAATACCAAATTCTGTCATAAACAAAGCCCCTGTACACCAGCATGCCTTTTGTTCAGTTTTATCACTGAAGAGCAGGAGTTTCACTGTATTAGTTTTTCCGATTTATGCCACAAATATTTTCTGTCTCATGCATCATTTTTAAGTGCTGTTTACATTTATTTTCATCCACTAGCATGGGAAAATAATTGCCACTCTTTAGAACTCCTGTTAAACTTCTGAAGCAATAAGTTTAATTGTTTATTATGTATTTCTAAGTAGTTTGTTTCCTCTAAGAATTAGCTAAAGATTTTCCTTGCACAGATCTTGACTCAGATGGTCCTTTAGCTAGAAAATATTGATTAGCTTTTGTTTGGGCCCTGTGGAGAGCACCTTATCTCCAAGACTGGGTTTTGTTACTGTGAGGGTTGACAGAATTCAGATTTAACGAGGTGAAATCTGCCATGGTCAGTAAAATGTTAAAGGATCGTGGTAATAAATTATGATATTAATATTGTGATTTCTTTTTTTATTTAATCAAAAAGAGGTTTTGGGAACTTTAAGCTAACTGAAGTAATTCATGTAATTCTCTCATCTGCTTAGTATGTCATTTTTCTTCTATGAATATCAATGCCTACATTCATTTAATCCAAAATAATTGATACCCAAACAATTAATAATGAGAGATAGAAACTGAATTGTAAAGAACTTTAAAAGACTTTGAAATATATTAATTTTTTTAAGACCAAATGTAAATACTGCATTACATCTCAAATTATATTATCAGAAAAATTGCATGAACAACTAATAAAACATTACATGCATCTCTTTGCTATGCATATGAACATTATAACTGTGTTAGCAAGTGTGTTGTGGCAGGTGAGGGATCAGATTTCTGAAGCAGTTCAGGCCTTGTGCGACTCAGTGCCAGGGTCCTGTCCATGCGGAGCAGCCCCGGCTGTCTGTGCTGCCTGGCTGATGTCAGCAGGGGATAGGTGCCTTTGAAGAGTGATTCAGCAGCTCTCCGTGCTGACTAATCACTCGATTTAGCCACTAGCAAATGCAGGATACACGATGATGTCTGAGCTCCTGCCTTTTAGGGCTGGCACACGGCTCTGACTCAGGGTTGGATCTGCCCACTAATGATCTGGTGCCTACAGCCCTCTTCTGATGTGAGCTATCTGAGCCCATCTTGTCTCCTTGAAGGCAGCAAAACCCTCAGAAAGCTTTGCTGCCATAATAGCACTTTGTGGCTTTACTGTAATCACCTGGTGGCAGAGAAAGTATGACTTTGGGACTCTCAGCACCCTGAGAAGACAGAGGCTGCTGCTCTCTCCAGCAAGAGGGTACCCTGGAGGAACCAGTCTCTATGCACCTGCCTGAAGATGAGCTACAACACAACCAAAAATGCAGCAGTCACAGCGCCAGAAGTAAGTCTGATACTTTAGCTTTGTGGCCACGGATTCACCTGGGGAGGGTGGTTGGGTCTTTAGTCGGAAGTGTTTATGTTTTCTCGCTGGTAAAAATGGGATAAAATAACCAGGATTCATACTTCTCATCTTGGCTGACAGATGTGAGCTGCCATTGTGCCGTGGAAGTGAACACATTGCCTTTGGGGGCAGCAGAACCTGGGTGACCGTGGCCTGCACACCATGGTGGGGTGATTTGCATCCCAAGCACTCCTTGCTTCCCGTTGTCATTGCCTGCTTTTGGTTTTAGCAGATCTTTCATGCTGCCAAGGAAAGAATGTTAAAAATGGGAAGTGGATTAAGTAGATGTGGAGGCATGAGCTGAGGGCCTCTCTCTGGCTCCCAAAAGCTGCTGCGCTCATCTGTCCTCCCAGGCGCACTTGTGACCTGGTGATGTGGAGAGTTAACCAGGTGTGGCTAGTGATGAAGTATCACTTGGCACACAATTTAACCACCTTGTCTCTTGCTGCTGATGCCTTTCTTCAGTCAACAGGGGACAGTACACCCTTGGTCTCTTCTTTCTCAGTGTTATAGGACATTGGCTTAGGATGTTCTTCCTTAGCAGCTTTCTGGTGGTCTCTGTACTTCAGAGAATCACCCTACCAAGCAAAGTGGTGGACTCTGTGTCTGTGCTGTGGATATTAAAATTAATTTTCCCTAACTACAGGTATGTCTACAGGCTGTAACAGAGCTGGCAGTGTTTGGCCATTGCAGTTCAATAGCAATAGCCTGATGTGCTGCTGTTGCCTGGCACAGAGGACATGTTCGTGTTAGTAGCTGTTACAGTGATACGTTTCATATGTGGTTGTCTGAGCCAGAGGTAGTTTGGATTTCTGAATATGAGAGTTGGAAAGCTTGAAAAGACAAAGAGAATAATGAACCTCAGGTATTTATGTCTTTAAAATATCACTGTCTGGACACTGCCAATTGTTTGTTCATTGACTTTACATCTGACACATACATGACAAATTCTGTCCTGCCTTCCAATGTTACCCCAGCCATGCATTTGTTCTGTTTGCCTTGGGCTGCTACTGGCTTTAGGATGTCATGTTGTGAATCAGATCAGTTGAATGGTCCTGCTCATTCTCTTTTGTGGGGGTGGGAATGGGAGGGAGGGAAATTGCTTTGCAGCCAGATTAATTTCCTGGTCTATCTGCCTGTGCAGTTGCATGAATGCCACTGCCAACACCAGGAGTGGAGCAAAATTGCTGCTAAATTAAAATGTTTCTGGACTGCCATCTTTAGATATAAAAGAATACGTATGATTATTTTGTTAATATTACTTTGCTCTAGGTTTTGACACCCTGTGGTCTAAGACCATGTGCCTGTAATCATTATTCACTCTTGAAATGTAGAATAGTTATCGGGCATATTTTGTGGCTTCTCTGAGTATGTATGTCTGTGTATGTGTACTGCAGTCCTCTTTGTTTACTGGATGAAATACATTTATTGGTGGAAAAATATGACTTGACTTTGCAGCACATCAACCTTTAGCCTGAATGATTGCTTGGTGGTGTTTGTGTCTTTTAAGCACAGGTGCTTCTGAAGATGTTTTATCCAATTCTCACTGTTACAACTCTGCAAAGGGTGAAGGTGCAGAACAACTCAGTGGCCAGTGCTGGCCCAATTCCATGGCTTCTCATCGGTCATTGACGTTTACTGTGTGTTTTTTAGTTTCTGTAAATAAATTTACCAGCTCAATACTGAAGAGTCTTAAGAGTCCTCCAAAGTAATGTACATGAATTTATCATACCAATTCCATGTTAAAGCCACAACTATAGAAATCCTGCTATAGAATTCTTCTTGGCTTTTAATCAGTGACCTGTATATGAAAAGCAAAGAATAAATAATTCTCATATATATATATTTTAATTTGGTAAGCATAATCATAGTAGCTTGCTCACTGAATCAGACAATTCTTCAAATATAGCTTTTGTTGAAGTGAAGTGAGTTTATTCTGGGTAAGTTTATACCATTATAAATTACTAGCTTCAGACAGATATTGTGAAATACTTAAATTCCTTCTGTTCCCATATTTTCTTAGTTTATTAAGACATTATAGCTTCAGTGGATGTAGGAGGCATTAGGAAAGAAATCTATAATGGATGTAAATAAACAGGTTTCCAGACAGCATGCATTTTTATTTCTTTCCCTGTAATGCATATTTCAAAGTATTAATTCACAAAGTACTTAATAACTTTGTGAATGCAATTAGTGTTTTATATGCAAGATTCCACTTCTTTCCTTTTTTAAAGCCTTATACACAAAATTCACTCTGTTTATGTGTGTCTTTTCATAAATACCAATAATGCTTTAATTTATGGGTGTTTGCTGTTGGGCTTTGTTTAAATGAGTTCCATCCAAAAGGAATCAGAGCTTTGTATTCTTGCAGAAATGAATAAACCACATGAGGTGAATTTTCATACAACCCATTTCAAACCTGGAGTTTTCAGGGTATAATTTAGATATTGCATTGGTGGTTTATGACCATATAAAGTGGAGGTGTGTAGGTAGGAGGCTAGATAGATGTACTTGTAAATGGCTGGAAGCAAGGAGGCTGAGTATGGTCTCCAGCAGTGCATTTTTCAGCTCACAGTTTCACATCTCTATCCTAAGGCATTAGATGTTACTAATTCTCCAAGAGCCAAAGATTTGTTTTGCAGAAGATTCTGATTTGATTAAGATATTGCTTCAAGACCTAATGTTACTTTAGCAAATCATGCCATGATTGGAAATAAACTGCATGTTATCTGAGAAACAGAGAAAGAGCCTCATGATTTGGAATGATGCTGCAGAAGCAGTGTTTAGTGTAATGACAGTACACTTAGATTAATTATAGCGCTGCTTGCAGGCGCCACTATACGCTTAGTGTTGTGTCAGCACTTTTGCTGTTAACCCTGTGTTGCAAAAAAATTGTAATTTGGCTCTAAAAATTTAAGAAATCTTGTGGTTTGAATACAGGCTTTGTGCTGTATGCACTTAATCAACTTCTAGGTAGGGCCTGAATTTTATTTTTGTATCCTTAGCCCTCCAAAGTATGTAGCTGTAGAAATAATATTTTCTATTTAACATAGTGTGTGTTTTCTGCTCTGCCCACTTCTGATGGAGAACTTAATTTTAGTAAATTCCTAGACTGTTGTGATCACTTCAGATGGTCTGAATAAAGCACTGAGATATTTAACCTTGAAAGCTGGAAGGTACAAGTGTTAAGCCACCATTTCACTACTCAGTAGATGAGTGAAATTTGGCTTAATGTGTGTTTATATGATTAGCTGCAATAGCTCTGAAGGATGGTTAAAGTCTGAAATAAGCCTTGAGCATGGCTTAAAAGGCTGTTTACACACAAAAAAATTAGAAATACTCTACAGAAGCTGTTAGAATTAGTTATGTAAACACTGCAGAGTGATTTTTAAAATAAATACTGAAATATACTGTAGGCAAAGAAGTGACAGTGAGATTACTTTTTAGTAAAAAAGTTACTAAAAAGCTTTTTTACTCATCAGAATGCTCTTTATCCTCATTTGCTGTTGAGAAGACAATAATAAATGTTGAGCAAATAAACTTGCTTGTACCTGGAATATGTTGTCTCGCAAGTACAGGAATCTTGACCCATTGTTTTTTAGCAGTTTTTAGCCTCTTATCCTCTCTTGATTCTAAGTTCCACTCCTAGATTGTATTTTACTTTTTTCTGAGTAGTGCTGGGAAGTGGCTCTTATCAAGAACAAATGATGCTGTAAATCAGGGCTAAAATCAATGCTGCTGTGGGGTTGTAATAGTGAGATGTGGTTGTGTGGGCCTGTGTGTTTTACCTGCCTCTGAAGCCAAGAGTGTGGCCCTGGGTAGTGTTCCAACCCTTGGCTTCTAATTTGCTGGCGAGTATATATATATATATACAGCTGTTCTGTCTCAGTTAGATTTCAGATATCAGTATAAAACTCTTGTTTCTTTTCTCATAATGCAAACAGTAAAAAGCAAGTGGGTATTCATATTCAAGTAGAATTGCATGGGCATACAGAAAGCACTTAATCCCTGCACCCTTAATACCACTAGAGTAGGATTTAGGACTGGCAGGGCTGGCTGAGATGCCTGGCAGCATATATTGGCTCCCTTCTCCTTTGGAGCACACGTTCCCTGTAGGTGCAAAGGACAGTGTTCTTCCAATAGCAGGATGGGTTCTGTCAGTTGGAGGAAGGTTTATTTGCCCAAAGCAACAGGGTCTTTAACATCATGGCTGGCCATTTTCGGCTGTAGTTACTGCTCTTCTCCATGATAGGTGGTAGTATAAACAAGGGATGATTTGTGCCACTGGAATAAGGCCACATGTGTTATGCCAAATATAAAATGAGAGGGCTGATATGAGTGCCTCTTGGACATGTCTTTCATTACCCTTTATGCTTCTCTTTCCTAATAGAATTTGGAGGAACCAAACACATGCTGTATGCAGGGTTTTATTAGAGTGCTTTGCCTCGGGCCCTTAACTCCTTTAGCTGGTCATTACCTAACCAGTAAAGACCTCTAAACGGGTCATTAATGCTTAAGTAATAAACTGTTTCACAAGACTGTCTAGTACAGAACCTCTTCTATCATTTTTACAGTTACTGTTTTATAGATAAATCAATGACCAACAACTGGATATTCTTGTTTTGCTACATAATCTTGTAATAGCAGCCACAGCAAACTGAGGGAGACAGAGGGTTCTGTTAGCTGTGTCACAAGAGCTGGAGGTGGCCACATGCAGGTGTGGAGTTGTATGTAGGGTAAACCAGGAGTAAAGTAAAGAATGAAGGCATGTTCTGCTGTGCCCAAAATACAGTATATCACTGCATCCGTTTCTAAAGCTTTTGGGTTTTTTACTTTGATTTTTTTTTCCTCCTTCTAAAAGTTGAATAACGTCAATAAGGTGTCTTTTCTTCCCCCATTGCCGTATTAGGGACATGTAGGCCTCACTATAGTCTAATATA